GTGACCAAGTGGCAGCGCTTTGTGAGGTCAGGTGAGGATTCGGTAGCATACAGCAGCTTCACAGAGATACAGCTACAGCTTCCTCAGATGTTTTACATGGAGTTTTCTTTTTTCCCCTTTTCCATATAACTAACTTAACATCTTAGCACACTGAAGCAGCTGAGTTGGAATGAGCTATCCCAAAGGCAACTGAAGCTGAAAGTAGTTTAGAAAGACATTTATTAAAACCACAGGCAGAGAATACATCACCCAGACACAATGGACAAGGAAACAACACATGCAGCCGAAAAGTCTAGCCTCTATTTTTCTGTCTGATGAGGTGGCTGGACAGCCACGCACATCGAACAGCACAACGAACAGCCCACAGATGCCCAGCTCTTCCCTTCCTACACTGCTAGGTGACACAAGATTGCTTTTTCCTGCTTTGTATTCACCATCAGAAGCTCTCCGGAGTCACATGCCCGAGGCCGTGGGCCACATTCCTGCGGGGATTACGGCTGCCCCAGCAGGAGAGAGGGAAGAGATGCGGGCCAGAAGGGATGGCAGGCAGCTCGGGGGGAGGAGCCGTGTTGTAAAGTGCATTGCGATGAGCACAGGCTGGGAGAGCTGTGCTGCAGTAGAGAGGGGAAGCCACATACTATAGTAGTGTTATATAACATGGGGCAGCAGGGCATCTAGATTCATCCTCCATACAGCTTGGAAACGAACCCATTATTCCCACATCTCAACACTCATCCCTGCAATATCTAAGCCAGCAAATATCTAAGAGCTGACAAGAAACATCTCTGCCCATTCTAGTGATGTGTACATTTAGAAAGGAAGCTTTTCCATTACTCCCACTTACTCTGTGCAGGCAGTAGAGTTGTAGGGCTATGCTGTAAGATAAAAATCACACCCCTGTCCATTACCCACGAGGAGTGAATGATACAATCACAGATGATGTTTCCCCACCACCCCCAGTGTGTGTGTTAAAAACATAGCTGGGTCAAGTTAAAAACTACATTAAAGGAATATTTCAGTTATAAAGTCAAATACTAAGATATATATCTGAAGTACGAATGCCTGTTCTCCCTTCCAGCAGCAAATTTTATTCTACATATCATTTCAGACTCCGTTACCATATTGCTGTCAGCCATAACAAGGTGCATCCTGGCGTTGTTATGGCTGAGCATAACTAACCTGCAGAACCATGCATGTCCTGGGCCTTCATCAGTTCATGTTGGGTTAATCCAGAAATAGGCAACAGACAGGAACTCAGTTTCTTGGATACGTCAGATGGCAGGCAGAGATTCTTTGCAGGACATTTTTTAGGAAAAGTGCCATGTATCACCAAAACTGTGCCTAGGAGGTGCAAAGTAGTATAAAGGAAAGAACACAAAACGCTATTTTCTGCATCGCTTGTCCTCATTTGTAGGGCTTACGAAGGAGATGGGAGAATCAATAGAACTGCATTTGTACTTGCAGCTATTTTACTGGGGAGGGGTGACTACAAACCCATTGCAGAAAATACCTTTAAGAAAATAAAATCAGTGCAACAAGAAAATAACTCTTCAAGGAAGGAAAAAAAAAAAGGAAGAAAAACAATCAACAGATGCACAGACAAGCATTGACTTCAGTGGAGCTGCAAGGCTGAATTTGGCTTGAATTCTGCGAAGTACTTTCAGAGCAGGAGCATACTGCATACAAATGAGCGTTAAATAATTCGCATCATTAGCAGAGCTCCAAGCAGCTCATCTGGACTTTGAAAAAGCTACAGCAAATGTACATTTTTTGAATACCATTATGGACAGTGATTAAACAGCATTAAGACATCTACTCTATTGACACTCAGTGCTGCAATTAGAGACCCATCCTCCATCCCAGGTTATTTTCCTTATTGATTTTTTGATTTCATGTAGACAAGCTTTTGAGTACCACAGAGGTCAGCATCTCACGTAAGAATACCCATTAAAGAGCATACGATTACTTCTTATTTATATTGCATCTTTTAATTTAGGTTTCTAAAAAAGCAGTCCTGTTTGTGTGGTGTAGATATCACAGGCAATTTAAACACTAAGGAATATCACAGAAATAAAGACACCAGTAGGTAAAATGGGTTTATCCAGGATGACACAGAAGGACACAGTGTAACAGAAAGAGATTAAAGGATCCGGATGCTCAGTTTCCTGGTTTAACCATTTCACTTGAATAGCCTCAAGTGCAGCTACTGTAGGCCTGAAATAAACCATGGCCTCATACCACACCTTAAATGCCAGAAGTTGCAGGGATGGCACAGAACAGGTCAGGTGGAGAATGCAAACTGTGCAAAGAGCCAAAGGTACAGTGCAGTTCCATGTGGATGAAGGTATTCAGCTGCCGGAGCTGCAGGAGACGAGTTACAGAATACTGAGAGCTAAATCCGTACAGCCAAGTGCACAGGGGGAGGCAGGGGCAGGCAGCAGCCTACAGGCAGTTAAAGGGAAGCTGGAAGGAATCCCTAATGAAGGCAGGAATCATTCTGAGTGACTCAGAAAATTGGCATTCACAAAGAGAACTGCGAATGGGCAAAAATAAATAGAGATGCAAGCAAGACCCAAAGGCCAAATCCCTTTCAATAGCCCAAACACTGATATAATGTGAGCAACCAAACAACAAGTCCTTGTGCAAACCTCTCCCAGCTGCTTCCTGCACACCAGCCTCTCTTGGTGGCAACGCCGGCTGCAAGCAGCTTCCACCGTACGGCATGGAGCCATGCAGGCTGCTGCCCACCGACACCATCCTCCTCGCAGCACAGCACGTCGCCCCGGTGCTTCCCCTCCCACACCCACGACATCTCAACCAGCGCGCTGTGCCGCCTCGCAAACGTCCCAGGAGCCCCAGGAAGGTCAGCTTTGCTTTCAGTAGCTGCCAGCTTCTGCGCACGTCGCAGGCGCACACACAGACCGGTCCCTGACAGATTGCAAGTCCAATAGTTTTATCTGGAGGTGGATTTATGCAAGCCAACTTCAGGTCCTGCCGCTATCAGCCTGAAACGTATGCAGGCAGCGCTGAACTACCACCGTTGAACAGTTAGTTCTGCAAGTCTTACAGTGAAGACCAAACTACAGATCAGTTCCCATTTTTTATATGAATATAAATGGGATGGCTTTTTGCCTCTCTTTATTAATATTTCATTAAAGAGTAGTCAAAGAAATTACAGTTAAATGTATTGGAACTGAGATCAGTAAGACTGAAGAACAGGAAAGGCTTCCTGACAAGTGAGATCTATTAGTCAACAGAGAAGTCTCCCAAAGGAGATGATGGGAGGACAAGAAGTGCTTTAGCAGAGCCAACATTAAGTGCTCCAAGTGATGCAGCCAACTCCTAGAGGACTGCCATGAGACGCACTGCCTTCAGCAAGGGAGGATGGCTGCCATTAGCCCGCTAATGCACATCCTGGCTTGGTCTATTACTATTTGGGAACAGCTCATTGGCTTAAAATTTCATTAACAAGAAAATACTAGAAAGACAGTTTTCTGAAGGTAAAGACAAGCCTTTGCAAAAATATCATTAAAAGAAGTGAAGAGGGAAGAAATGAACAGCTTTCATAAGTATTTCTGCCAGGATTTATCCACCAGCCTTTCCTTAAACTACTTAAAAGATGCAAAATTGCCGGATCCTCTCTTTCTTACTCTGCAAAAGCTAGCCACTTTCTCATCTCTATCTAGCACTACCAAATACATAAATGAATAAATAAGTAACAGCTAGAAGTTACAAAGAGGTTTAAGACCAAGAGTACAGATCCCTAATTCCTACACTTCAGAAAGCAGACAAAACTGGAATATAAAACAGAGATGCTACAGTTAAGACAGAAACAACCTTTTCAGTGTTACAATGAGGAAGAATATAGTGCAAAAATAAATTTAGATGAAATTATTCTTCAAAGCTTTTAATGTCAGTCCAAAAATAAGAACATAAATGCTCTCCTCAAGATCTCCTGGTATTTACACACTGCCCTGTACAGCGGGAAGGCTGCTAACTTCCATGCACTCTGTATTTAGACTTTATATGTAACCTTAATAGTGAATGTCCAAGAGTGGATGTTTATCTTGGTATCCTTTTATCAATCAAGGCTTTCAGTCTTAGATCTGCAGTAAAAGAAAGGTCCTTCCATGCATGATGCAACATTTCTAATATTTTGGAGAAGAGAATCCTCTGAAAGATGGAACAGAGAGAAGAAGAAAGGATCCACTTTCATTTTTAAAAGCAGGCTCACCAATACCACAACAAAGCCTGACAACTGCTGAATGTGACCTTTGCCTCAACTGCACATTTTGTTTCTTCAGAAACACGTGAGATTTCACCTGACTGCCATTATAGAAAGGGATACTTTGCAGAGCATCTAATTCTTTCTCCCATCTCAAGTCCCTTGGTGCTGGGGGTGCTAAAGAAGCAGTGTTCCCCAGAAGCTTTGGAGAGCCAACAGAGTAAGGACATGGTACCTTTAAAGACCAGCGACATTTGGACAGTTAAGTTTGCCAGGGCAAACTCTTGATGGTCATCCAGGCTTACCTCGTGCCGGTCATTCCAGCTGCTGGAACAGCTGTGTGGAATTAGAAGCATCAACAGAAAGCAATTAGGTGAAATCTCTGATGTCAGTGGCCCAACTTGTGTTACCTGCGCCTGTATGTAACCCAACAATTAGATCCATCATTAGCAGCTTGGCTTAATTGTAACTTAGAACTTCTTCAAGCACAGACTTTGCACAAGATTTTTAAATTACTGTAATTAATTGTACAGAAAGCTTGAAGTGTCTCCTGCTCCATTGTTGCGCTGTTGTTTTTCTTTCCTTATGCTGACACCAGAACTTGCTTTTGTAAAGGAGCTGAACTCAACTAAAAGAAAGGCCTCTTAGATAGGCTGATAAGCACACGCACACAGATATCTTTTATACTTTATATAAGGAGAAACACAATGACTTTTTTTTTTTTAATCTCATCTAAGAGATGCAAAAAAGAACATTATTCTAACCCGCAGTTGTCTCACCCCAGTTATATGAATTACCTCTCTCCTGGCTTTTTGCACTCTCCCCAGATTACTGCTGTTGGCCATGTGCTGGACAAGCTGCATCCCAGCCTGAACCAACGACTTGAATTTTAGCCAGCAAGGAAACAAAACACAGGATTGGTGTCCGAACCGCTGCAACTTCTTAAAAGATGTGCAGTTGGAAAGAAGGCGTCACAATGCAAAGAATTTTTTTCTGGCTCAGCTTTCCAGCGGCTAACTGCAGTATTACGGGAATGACACAGCACGCCGCGGGCTCCCTTGAGCAACTTCTGGTGCTGAACAGCGTCACGTATCTTCTATGCCCTTTGTTTTGCATTGGCCAAAGGAAAGAGCGAGCCCTCTAGAGGCAGAAACACAAAGCCTTGGAAGAGCACTCAGCAGCAGGTCTCCACACTGAGACCCTCCTGCCTTTCCTCGAGATAGGAACAGGTCTGTGTCGCTGAGCAGGACTCTGACCCACAGATTTATGCGGAAAAGCCAGGCTGGATAGGAGAAGATTACAAGCTATTTCCTGGAAGTGCTTACTCTACAGCCTAGAATGTGTGGAAAGTAAGGCTTGTTCTTTTCCTTACTGCTTGTGCAGTCTTTTTCAGAGTATATAAGACATCCACCAAACTGAAGATTCAAGTACTGTAGCTAGGCTGGCCCACCACAGCATAGTTAGGATTTTTCTTCTAGGCTATGCAAAATACTTGTTTTTGCCTTATTATATGCCTCGAGCACACAACGAACTCTTTCATACATACAGCAAGCAGGTTTGCATCTGTCAAGGCATGTTCAAAATATTTCTTTCAAAGAGCTACTTCTGTCTGAGTGCCTGATAACAGCTGCAGATTTAAATATTTTCTTATTCTAATGAGAACTTACAATTTTTTCCAAACAGCTCAACATAGTAACGGGAGAATGTGGCAAACACAAACTACAAAACTTTTAAGCTGGAGTTAAAAAGTATTAAAAGGCATCTGCCAAGACCTTAGGAGCTAACAGGGCGCAAGAGGTAAGATATCCGAGACAGAAAAGTTCAAGAGCAACTTAACATACAAAAAAAAAAAAAACAAAACAAAAACCAAAAAACAGATTATGTTTGGGTTGCTGACCATAAGATACTGGCATGGCTGCATCTACAAAATTGCTACCAATTAGTTTGTTGAAACAGGTAGTCAATATCCCTTACAATCTCTACACAAATTACAAGTGACTTTCTGCGTAACATAATGAAGATTATCCTTGATTTCTTTAAACATATATGTACATGCACATTCATACTCACATACAGAGACATGAATATAAAGCCTATAATAAAATTAGAGCTAACTTAAGAGTCATCTTAGAATCATAGAATCACCAAGGTTGGAGAAGACCTCCAAGATCATCCTGTCCAACCATCCACCTACCACCAATGTTTCCCACTAAACCACGTCCCTCAGTACAACATCTAAACGTCACCACCTCCCTGGGAGCCCATTTCAGCACCTGACCTCTCTTTCGGAGAAGTTCTTCCAACTTCCAGCCTGAATCTCCCCTGGCACAACTTGAGGCCATTCCCTCTCATCTTATCACTAGTTACATGGGAGAAGAGGCCAACCCCCACCTCACTGCAAGCTCCCTCCAGGTAGTTGTAGAGAGTGGTAAGATCTCCCCCTGCATCTTAATCCAGATGCAGGAAAATTTTTTGCCTGGTGCTTGATAATGAATAGAAATGTAGAATCTCCTGCATTCCTACAGGAAATCCCATATTTCTTGAAGTTCTTCTAGGCTCTGATGAAACACTGTTGCTCATTCTGCTTCCCAGGGATAGGGAACCGGCAATTCCAGACTGATCTGGTAGAGCTGAAGAATTGATTTCTGCTTCGCAAATCCCAGCAATGTTTCCTAAAGAACCTAGATGACACCAGTAAGTCCTAGTCAAGGTCAACTGATCTGCTCTACAAAAATTGTGTAGTTCTCATTTGTAAAAATTGGGCTGTAATATAGGCTGAAATGGAAACATCTGCCCCATCAACACTATTACTTCAATACTTCCTCCAGCCTGGGAAATGAGCTGCAGCAGGTTTTTCCGCAATTGACTGCAGAGAAACATGTATTAAATGGGAATGGTTAAAAGGGACATCATTATTATTGCTTGGTCAAACAACTGGTAGGGATAATGCTTCTGTGTCACGAGATGTATATTTAGATGCATCGAATCTCAAATGGCATCCAAGTTTAACTTAATATAGCTTTAAATCAAAGTTTTATATTCATTTTCATGGGCTCATTGGTTGTTTTGTATTCAAATTCAAACCAGCAGTGGAGAACTGTGGAAAATGGTATTCCAGAGCAGAAGGGTGGCTATGAGCTCTACTTTGAAGACATGATCTATTGGAGATACTACTTCTCTGAGACTATTACAAAGTGCATTTTCACAGGCATTCTTACTAAGAAAATAATTTAAAAAAATAGAAACCCAACATTTAGAACCATGAAATGGAAGGTGTTTTCAGGAGATCTAAGGTTTGATCTGAAGTATGTTCAAGCATGCCCACAGCACTTCAAACAGAATCTACTTGATACTTATTTTTGTATTTCAAGAAGTACCTTATCTGCTTTCCTCTGATACAGCATCCTGGTCTCTTACTAGACTTCATTTTCCTTCTTGACTAAGATAAATACAATTGCATTTAGGCAAACTGCCTAAAAGGCTGCATACTTCAGATTCCCACGAGTTGTTTCAGATTAGCAAGTGTTATCACTGTCCTGCTGTCCTTACATCTTCCTTTCCTGAGAAAATGAAAACCAGCACTTCAGAAACCGTAACAGATTATTTAGCTCCAAGCTATTCTTATATTTTGAAAGTTATCTCCCTACTGTAGTAAGTTAATCCTACATGCTTCCAGATTATTTCTTTAATGAGTAGACAAGTAAACAACAAATTGTTACTATCTCTTCTGAAACAGGGATTTTCTGATCATTATCCCATTACTGTAGGACATTAGGTAGTAGGCCAAACTTACCTTGCACTATTACTGTTGTTAGCTGCTAAGAAAAACAAAAGAAAACTTAGATCAACAAATTAAAGGTACACAGGTGATTTCTATGATGGCTTTATTAGCCTCATGTTTTCAAGTAAGCATCCTCTGTGATCCTAAGGGTTATTTCCTTCTAGTACTTCTGCTAGTCTCTCCTGTAAAGACCCCATGGAAGAAAGGACTTGGTGATGGTCACCAGTATGACAGGAGTACCCCCCAAAGATGATGCAATATGACCATTGTGCATCGAGCTACTTGAAGGATAAAAATGAAAAAAATACATTGAAGAAAATAAACAAATGACACTTGAAATCAGTATGCTTTATTAATACTTCAGAAACATCAAATCCTACAGCAGAGTTCTTCTCCTCGCTTGTTTCCAGTCACTGCTTTGAAGCAATTTCTTGAAATATGCAAGTAGATACATGAGGCACTGTGTGAATACAAAAGTGACAATACAAAAAAAACCCCAACAATTAAACCTCATGCAATACATACATACAAATATATATATATATATAAAATATGGTAATGTAGCATAATACACACAAGCGCTAATAGAACAATTCATATAAACAAACATACAATATGCACAGCATGTAATGATCAATGACAACAGGTTTCTGACCTATGTGCAGAACCAGTCAGTTTAAATAAAGAGTTTTAAGATACTAGAAACTGGTTAAGCCACAGCTTATAAAATCTGCTGTGCTGCAGCTTTTCTGCTCTGTGTCACAAGTGCAGATTAATATACAAAATAAATAAAGACTACAGCTCTACAACACTTGCTTAACAGCTCCTACTTCAAAGTCACTGGCCATTTCACTTTCATTCAAGGTTCATTAGCCAACACAGTGGCAAGAAATGTGCCTAAAGCAACCGTTCTGCTCTTGGACTATTTTAATACTGATAAGGACATGTTTTTGTGTCAGCAGGAATAGTTACAGAAGTCCAATTTCTAAATAAGCAAAGGATTGAAGCTATAATAGAGCAGATGTTGAGGAGGTACTCTGACAGAGCTGTTGGTTAGCCACGTGCCATGCTGCAGTTACCAGCTCAACCAACTAGGGCAGGAAACAGAGAGTACTGAAGCAGTGGAGAAACTCAGAAGCCTCCTCTAAACACAGTGCAAAGCGTGAAAACACCAACAGTCTGTAGGAACAGAAACCAGAGACTAGAAAGTCTCTCAAGCCCTATATCTGGGACAAGAGCTACTCTTACCTGAAAAAAAGCTCAAGTATTCCTAGAAAATAGCATGCAAATAGGAGGATTTTCTTCTTAACCAGCCAGTATTGGGCAATGCCAAAAGTACAAGTTGTTCTAATCTCATACCTTCCTAGCTGACATGGTACCTTCTATACTCTTGGTGTTGCAGGCCTCCAAAGATCAGACCACATTCACTATAACACAGATGAAATTAAAATTATAAAAAGGCAATCAAATTGATTTAACAGCCAATATTATTTATCGATGAAGCAGCAGTTTTCTGGGAGGGGAACAAAGCAGTGGAGGGCAGGGGGAGGGCTGACAGTGGAAGAGATTATAAGAGGTAGAAGAAAAGGAAAACTGGGAAGAAGGAAGATAGCAGGACTGGCTTTCAGAAGAGGAAGTAAGAAATGCAATATCCTTTTTTGTCAGTGTAAAGTTTTAACCCACAACAAAATAAACATCTGCCTATTACTAAACAGGATGTTCCTTCAAACACACTGAAAGTGTGAAAAAAAGAAAAAAGACAGCAGGATTCATCATCCAATGTTTAGTTGAATGTCTTTTAACATTAGAAAGAGCAACATGAGAAAGAGGAGCTGCTGCATCTCATTTCCTGAGAAGGTCCCCTTAAGATTTCTCTAGTTTGTCTTTACACATCCAAAAGGAACAATCATCCCTTACATAAAAGAATAAACACTTCCTACTGGGAGCAATGATCACACCTTCAAGGTCCATCTGCCACAGTGACAAACCCTCCATGTGCCAAAGGCACTGCCACATAAATGATAATAAACCAGGAAGTGATCCACTAGATCAGGTTTTTGTGTGCGGATACCCAGAAACATTTTATCTCTACGATGTTCATTACTTGATATATAAATATCTCATGGGAATTAGTAATCAGGCTAATCGTTTAGAATACAATTACTGAATATTCTCTCCATTAAAGTGGTCACAACGCCCAGATAAATGTAACTTTCTAAGCAGCTGAATATTTTTTCTCTCTTCAGACTAAAAAGCACATAAGACATGAAACCTTGACTGAGAGGAATTTGTTAACAAAATAAAGTAAAATACTACAAAGCAGCCAAATTCATCTGCTGAGGTTTTAAGCTGACAGTCCACTGCAAACTCTTCTAGGTTGTTACTGCACTGTTTGCATTCCAAGAAGTTTGAAAACATTTATTTCCCTATTGATTTTCTCCTCTTCTATTTGACAAAACCTTCTGTGCTGCCAACACAGCTGTCTTTTCTTTACCTTCGTGTCTACCAGCAGCAGCATGGCCTGCTTGGAAAACTCACTGATCTACCAACACTGAGAAAGTCGAGGGGAGGGCTGGTGCCTGTTCAGGCTCCAGCCTAGTGGGTCACACAACAAAGGCGTAAGCAATTCTCGGTGAGGTTTTGGCTTCCTGTTTTATTTGGAGATAGAAGGTTATGACAAGAGTCCATCAGTTTATTTTAAGGTATTTTGAGAAGTGTCTACGACAGATACTTGTTCAGATGTTTCCATTTGATTACTTTTCAGCTGACGTGGCTGAAATCAACAGAGATAAGTACCTCCAGTAAGATCCACTGAACATACTAGAAACAAGCACAAGCCATGCACAAAGCAGTGGGCTTAGCTCTTAGAGCTGTCAGTGCTATGAAGCAGTCCCTCAGAAGGCTGGCTGCTCTGGTGGCTAGATTCAGGGAGCAGGGAGGATCAGCCTCATGGTTTTGGTGCTGTCAGTTTTAAAGACTGTGATTAGCTTGGCAGAAAAATGAATTGTTTTTCAGCACAACTGCAGACATGCTATAAACTTGTTTAGAAAGAATACACAAATGGTGTAGATGAGGAAGTTTAGCAGTCATTTCAAAGCTTTTCTCCCTCTCCAGCCCTTCCTGAAACACATTCTGGTTATCGGGAGTTGTCTGCTCCTCAAAAAAGGGAATCAGACCATTACTTCCCAGTGGGATTTTGTCTGACAGCACAGCCCAACTGTATACAGCAGACAGCACGTGAAGCCCCTGCAATCTGCTCCGTTGTGGCTAATATTTGCCCCACTTGCTCCTTTAAGAGCGTGCTTGATACTCCAGTGCTATAAGAACAGAAGTACACCATGTCTGTGCCGTGTGTTACATATCTGCATCCACAAGAATCCCAGTAAGCTAAGTAATAATGAACACTTTGCTTATACAAAGAGCAGAGCTGCAATCTTACTTCAGGCTTCAAGCAGCTCAACTAGCTGACTCTCTATGAATGGAAGGTATTTGCTGGTTCCTTAAAGATACAGTCTCTCACGCAACCCTGTTTAGAAATGCATACGTTCCTCAGCCACTTGTTTTGGAAGCACATTTTTGTTTGTTTTTAGATTGCTGGGACAGAAGTTTCACCCCCAAACAGCTGCTTTAAGCTGTCAACAGAGAGCAGGTTTTCCATAGCAGACAGCCAACTTCTCTCCAGAATTCAGGAAGCAAGAGAAGCGCTTTTACAAATATTCAACAACAACCAAAAAGGACATTTCATTGGCTTTTCATGACAAAAAGCTAATAGCACTGGAAATGCTTTTAAAAACAGCAATATCTCTTCTGACTTTGAATTCAGATAAGTGTCTATTAAACGCTATTAAAGTCATCACTGTGATTAACACGATTCAATTGCCATCTCTGCACAATTACTCATCCTATGAGAGCTCACCAGCAGCATCACTTCGTTAGCACACTTCACGTCCTTACTCATGGCAGCAGCTGCAGTGACCAGTGACTGAATGTACCCAATGCTCCCTCTGAGCAATACTTTACATGTAAAGACATCTTAAAAATCAATTTGGTGGCATTAACTTCCAAGACAGCACTGAGGGGTCAGAGTAAGTCACTCAGGATGCTTTTACTGTGATCCCCTCCTTGACTGTTTGAAGCCAGAGCTACCACATCTCAGTTTTGCCTTTTTAATGGGTGTGTTTCTAATTCTTTCAAGCACTAGTACTTCACGCTAAAGAACTGACGCTTGTGGCTTTATATTCCAGCCCACTTCCTTTTTAAAATAGGCATTAATAATACTTAAATGCATTCCTCTCTCTTTTTCACTTCTCCATCACTTACAGGGTGGATTTTACTTAATCTCCCTCTGTTCAAAAAATGTTCCTGCATTTCTATATTCAGTATTAGGAAGAAAAAAAAAAGAAGTAATCTTTAAAATTGTAATCTCATCTGTTTCAGACCAAGACTTCACTATCCCAGCTACATTCCTTTGCCAGAAAGGGCAGGGTAGGAAAGGAAAGAAAGGTGGAAGTGTGAATTACCCATAATCAAAAGAGGCACTGTATACCCACTAAGCAGGATGGCTAAAGCTAGTTTTCAATCAAGCACAATGTGAGAACTTAAGCACACTGTGTTTCAAAGATTCTGGCTCCTCTAAGGGGCAACTTTCTAGGGCTGGGTGCTAAAAATGCAGCAGACAGCCAACTGAAATCTAGTAAAATATGAAAACAATTTTTCATTGAACATTTGTCTTGAATGCATCAGCTAATTTCTACAGCTTCAGAGATGTTGGCAAGACTCAAGTATTGGTTTTGATGCACATTCATCAGCAAACAAAGAGGCAAACTGTCAACTGGTGGACAAGCATTAACATACTGCTGTATTGTTGAGGACACTGGTAAGGCCTAGAGAGGTGAGATCATTCCCTCACTCAAATTACATAATATTTTAATAGTGTTGAAACCAAGAGAGTGAACAAAAATAAAATAAAAAAGCAAATCAAACCCACCACTTGAAATCCAGGAATTTTTGAGAGGGATGATAAGAGAAGCTGTAGGCGTAGCAGATTAGCACTATGAATTAAAAAACAAGCAAATGAAAACACACACCACAACCCTAAAATAATAAACGTAGCATCCTCCATATTTTGTCCATGTTGTGGACTATCTTCTGCTAGAGCATTGCTCATACTGCTGGCACTCCTCATAACAGTACTATGCATTACAGCTGCTGGCTTCTAGAGGTGATATTGACATCACAAGTAAAAGAATGCATAATTTCTCTCCTAAAGCACAGCTTGAGAATTAGGTTTCTGATTACCACAGACAGCTTTCTAAGAGGTGCATTTTACTTAGCCTCCAATAAAACAGACAAACCAGCTCCAAATTTGACTGGATATTCTCACGCAGCTGTAAGTACACACTGGAATACTTTGTTTCTACAGTATTGTAAGTCTTCACCAAGAGATTGAAATGAAAGGCTCATTTCTGAGAATCTGACTTGTTCAGCCCCCCCAGCCCCAGTGTTTCGGGAAACTTGACCAATTTCAGAGAGTGAACCATACTATGAACTTAGCAAAGCGTCACACCTCCCTTCATGAACACAACAGCTTCCTCCTCACCTGACAGCTATGAAATCAAACAATTCTGTCTTCTTTCTACACTAACAACAAGAACTTTGTTTCCAAGACACCAAGAGGCACAAGCAGTCATCAGAATTGCATGACTCTGAATATCCAGGTTAGAAATCATAGCGATGGGAGATGGCAAATCCAAAGTATATTATGCAAGACAGAAGGCTTCCTGAACTAAAGTAAGTTCATACAAAAATGAACACCTGCCCTACTAGGTTACCCTCACAGAAAGCAGTCACGTATTTTAGGTGAGTAAAATGTAGGATGGGAAAAGTGGTTACAACCTTGTTAGTGGAAAAGCTACTGTTGTTTCACAGCAAAACAATAAAGTAATTGCCTGAGTTGCTACAGAAGATGGCAGCTCACAGAAGAGTTACTGTGTTAAACGCTATGATCGTCCCTAATGACCCAACAAAGGCTCCAGTCACTCGGACTGCACTGCCCACACCAGCTGATAGTGCAGAGACAGCACAGACAGAAACAGCTCTACTGTTCTTTGTTCAGCCATCTCAACTCTTCTATATAAAGTTTCCTCCCATAGAGACATTACTTTTCAACACATTTTGATCCACAGGACTGACATATTGCAACATCATGTGCTTCTAAGTTAGGCATCCAATCCTGCTGCCAGATGTAAAGCACTTCTTGTTTAGGTATGGAAATTACTAACACATTTGCCATTGAGCCTTCAGATCTTGTTGAGTTCTGCCAGTCAGGCTAGCAAAGCAGGAGCAGACACGGCCAGGGGCTCTAGTATGTAATGGATCTAACAGTTGCAAAACAAAACACACATTCATTAAGGACTCTTTCATTGTTACCTTAGCTTCACATCTCTTTAAGAAGTTACTTAGATCCCCAAAGTCCAAGAGGTATGGCAAAATCAATCATCTAGTAACAAAAAAACATTACTAAAATGTTTCTAGTTTATGTTACTAAATTTTCTTCTGAAAGTTGTACGTGAATTTCTTTTTAAATGAAAGTCAAGACAGATCAAATTTTCACATCACGATTACCTAGCTAGAGCTTTGTGCATGGGCAGGGGTAAGTCACAGTAAGTACTGTGAAGCTTATGTCACGTGTTCTGCAATTTGGCAATAACAAACGAGATGTTTTCTTGAAACCCAGTTCCCACTAAAATCA